AGCAGTTAGTATTGTCTGAACCTTCCAAGTAGGAAATGTAGCCAGAGAAAACAGTTCTTGTTTGTCCAGGATCAAATCGGGCCAGGAATTGAAGCCAGGCAGGCCCAGCTCCATAGCTGAGATCCCACATGTTTCCCCAAGGTAGATATGAGCAGCAAGTTTCCTGCCTTGACCTTCCTTCTCTGGAGTTACAGGGAAAACTGAAGATCCCTGCTTGGTAGAATCCCAGTTTTTGCAAAGAATTCGGTGGCAGGAACACTGAATTTTGTAGTCAGAGGACCTGGATTCCAATCTAGACACTGTCACTCATCAACCTCTGTGACCTTGGGGAAGCCATTGTATGTAGAAAGTGACAGCCTCAGTTTCCTCAACTGTAAAACAGAGGAACTTAAAATAACAACGATAGGAATCCTAAAATTGAATGTTGTGCAGTTATAATAACCAAGCTTGCTTCAGAGAAAAGATGAGAAATTGTACTTCCCACCCTTAATTTTGGAGGTGGGGGACTGTGGATACAGAATATTGCATACACTATCAGATGAGATTGATGTGTAAAGTTGGCTTGGTTGGTTTATTAATTTATTTTTATAAGAGATGACTGGTTGTGTAGGAGAGTGAGGAGGGAAATAACTCAGAAATGAAGGTAATATAAAAACAAAAGATAATTAATAAAAGTAAGGTAGAAAAAATAAAACATGATGGACAAAATGATGTCTAAGGTTCCTGCCAGCTCTAAAACTGCGTGGTGCTATAGAAAGAGTGCTAAGTGTCAAGTCCTGGGACCTGAGTTCAAATTGTAGCTCTTCCATTTGCTACCTGTGTGACCTAGGTAGGGTGAGTAATTAATATCTCAAGTTCTCAGTTTCTTCATCTGTAAAATAATCAGTCAGCCTATAAATATTTATTCAGTGCCTATTATGTACCAGTCACCATGTTAAGCACTGGGGATACAAAAAGAGGGGAAAATATAGTCCCTGCCATCAAGGAGCTTACAATCTAATGAGGGGGACAAGTAAACAGATATGTACACACAACATATAGACAGGATAAAAGATAATTAATAGAGGGAAGGCACTAGAATGAAGAGGGAGTGGGAAAAGCTTCCTGTAGAAGGTGGGATTTTCATTGGGACTTGAAGGAATCCAAGGATCGGGATGGACTATAGCAGAGAGATAGTCCAGAGCTATCACGACAGTCCAGACCTGAGATGATGAGGGCCTGCGATAGGGTGGGGGCAATGAAGGAAAGAAGGTAAATTTGGGAGATGCTGCAAAGGTGAAATCCACAGGCCTTGGCATTTCATATGAGAGTGAGAGAGAGTGAGAAGCTGAGGATGATACCTAGGTTTCCAGTCTGAGGGACTGGGAGGATGAATGATGGTGCCCTCCACAGTAATAGGGATGGCTGAATTTTGGACATACGGAGGTTTTGTTTTTTTAAAAGACAATTGGAGTTAAGTGACTTGCCCGCATCACACAGCTAATAAGTGTCAAGTGTTTTGGTCTGAGACCGGATTTGAACCCAGGTCTTCCTGACTTCAGGGCTGGTGCTCTATCCACTGCGCCACCTAACTGCCTATCCTAGGTACAGTGAGTTTAAAATGTCTACAGGACATCCAGTTCCAGATGTATGAAAGGTAGTTAGAGATATGAGATGAGGTCAGCAGAGAGGGTAGGGCAGAATAAATTGATTTGAGAATCACCAAATAAGGGAATTAGACTAGACTAATCTAGCCCTGGATTCTTCTCTTTTTGGTGTCCTGGTCCTCTTGCGCAGCCTCTGAACCCCTTTCTCAAAATCATATTTTCAAATTCATAAAATAAAATGCATGCACACGGAATAAATGCTAAGGGGCCTCCTCAGGGGCTGGTTGATCCATGAGGCAGGAGGCTAAGTAGAAGATCTCTGAGGGGAGGGGAAAAGATGTAGAGAAAGTAAGAGTTTGAACTGAAACTCTTTCCCCAGGTGCCCTGGGGAAGGGGAAACAATGTTTCTACTCCAGGCCCTCTCATGTTGTCACAATTTGCCACAAAGTCACAGAATTTGGTTCCTTGGCTTGGGGAATGATACTGTCTCAGATCCAGAGCTGGAAGAGTACTTGGAGGATCTACTCCAACACCACGGTTTTACAGAGGAAGAAACAGGATCAGAGAAATCAAGCGACTTGCCCAAGGTCGCATAGGCAGTTAATAGCAAGGCCAGGATTGGAACATAAATCCTCTGTGTTGTTTTTATCCAACCACGGGGCTTCTTATATGGAACAGTCCAATGGGGTGTTCTGGCCAGGCCTGAGAGGCCATCATTTCTATCTTTGTGTCCCCAGTATCTGGCCCAGTGTCCGCTGCTTAGTAGGCACTTAATAAATGCTTGTTGGTTAGTTAAAAATTGATCACAGACTCAAAAGATTTAGGGCCAGCAGAGACCTAGGAAGTCACCTAGTGTCTGACCCCTTATTATACAGAGGATGAAACTGAAGACTCTTTAAGGGACTAGAATTTGAATCTAGATCCCCCAGACCCAGCAATCTCTCTAAGGTTGACTGAAGCCCCTCATCCCCCACCCCCACTGCTTCGGACCAAGGTCCACTTCTCCAGATGAAGAACAGTAAACTCCTGCCCACCCGGCCTGGGGCAGCTCTACGGTAAGGTGGGGTCACCAGCGCAGGGGGCAGGGAAGCGCCTGAGTAAAATGATCTGGGTCAAGTCCCTCCAGGTATCCCAGGGTCCGGGCATCAGGAAGAACCCTGCCGGGGGTGTGGTGCAAGGTCAGTATTGCAGGGAAGCCCTGAGTTGGTACTGCTGGGGCAAAGCTGCAGAGGTAGGGAGCTCCAGGGCAGCTCCTCATGAGAACTCTCGGTGAGGCGTCAGAGACGGCCGCATGGGCAGGCTGTCTTCACACTGCTGGAGAACTCGGGTGGTGGCTCCTGGAGGCAGCATTTGAAAGGTGGGGATCTTGGGGGTGGGGTGGGATTAAGGCAGTCTTGCAGCATAGCCCTGCTCTTCTGACCCCTCGGACCCTACGCGCACGACACCGGGAGGCTTCCCTGTCCCTCCCAGGGACTGTCTCAGGTCTCAAAAACGAAAATGAAAGCAGCCACACAGTGTGCGGGGTGTGCGGCAGGTCCTTGGAACGCTTTCGGACCTTCCCTGGGCTCCACTCGTCGCACTCCGCATCTCCTCCCCCACCTCTTGGCCTCTCTGGGGCAGTGGGTGCCCCAGACATCGAACCAGGAAGGTGGCCCCTGGGCGGGGCAAGGTGGGGCGCTCCCCCTAATCTGCTGCTTCCAAGCACTACCCCTGCTCAGAACTGCAGAGCCCCAGACCTGTAAATAGGGGCTCCTGCCCTTCCATTGCGAGCTGATTCCCTCCCTAAGCCGGAGAAACCAAATTTCCTCCACTTTCAAAAGTTTTCCAACTTTTCCACTGCCTGGGAAAGCCGGGGGAAATTATCCTCAGTTTTCTTATCTGTTTACAAGTTGGACTACCCCAGGGGAATGAAAGCTCATTGAAGGCTGGGGCCAGTTTTAAATTATTTCTGTATCCCACCCCACCCCCCAAACTCCCTTCACATAGCGGACGCAAAATAAATGCTTGTGGACTTGCACGGGCCTGGCCCTGTAGGGGGCGCATGAAGGCAGTGCAGACTCGGGGCGAGAACAGCTGTGCTCCCAAGCTACACAGCCGCGCCCCCCCCGTCCCCGCCTGCCGCTATCTCTACCCCCCCACACACACCGGAGGGGAGCATCTCCACTTACCCAGGCTGCCTTCGTGCCTTCCTCCCAAGAGCGTCCATGGAGACCTTGCTGTGTGCCTGGCACTGGGCGAGGCGCCCCGGGGGACGACACAAGGTAGAAGACATCACCCCTGCTGAGGGGAATTTTAAAAATCTCCCGGGGAGAGAAGACTAGCACGTCTGAGAAGGGCACGTCTGTGTCCTGCTACCAAGCAGGGCAAGTAAGTGACCCCCTAAGAAAGTAAAGAGAGAGTAAGTGAGCTGGGAGAGAGAGAGGCTGCAGGGGTCAGGAGGGCTGGGCAAGGGGTGTAAGAATTTCTAGACAGCCTTACTGGAGCCAAGGTTTGAGGTTGGAGAGGAGACTACGGATGTACTAGATTGTGTAGGGCTCTGAAGGCCGGCCGGAGGACTTTGGCTAAGTTATTTCCTCTATACTGGAACAGAGAGTAGCGGGTTCCACAGACATTTATTATATACCACCTGTGTTCGAGGCACTGGGAAAGGAGCAAGGATCCCAAAGTAAGAAGACTAGAGCTGGGAAGCTCTGGCATAACATCAGCTGTGTGTCAACCTGCCCTTCCCTGGGCCTCAGTTTTCTTATCTGTGAAAAATGGAATACTGGCATTCCTTCTCGTGCGACGTTATGAGACTCGTTAGGTTTGCTTGCGTTGGGTCAGGGGCAGCTCTAATCCAAGCGAGGGGCACTCGGAGACAGGCTGCGGAATGTGGTTGCAGGGAGGGGGCGGTGGCTCAGTAGCTTCCCAGGGTCCAGGGTCCCTGGCACGTGTTCTTGGGTAGCCTTGGGGGGGGGGTGTAGGTGGGCTGAGGGCAGCCCTCGGTGAAGGGAGCCGGGCACGCTCAGCCGTCCTTCCCAAACCCCCCAAGGTGAGAGAGGAGTGATGCGGCGGGAAGCTAGGGAGCTTGGTCCTGCAGATCCAAACCCCTCGGGGTGACCTAGTCTAGGGAAAGAGGCGTAGGCGCCGGTCCAAACTCCTCCCCTCGGCCCAGAGCCCCGGGGGGAACTGCTTCTGCCTCCTCTTTTGGCTTGACTTCCCTGTCTGGGGTGAGAGCCTGCAGTGACCCCCCATCCAGCCTCAGCGCGCCCCAAATCCGAGTCCGTAGCCACTGGCAGGGGGAGGGGACACGGTTCGCCTGGCACACACCCCCTGCAGTCCTTCGGGCCTCTAGTCCCTCGGAGTAATGATCCTTTTTACGTAACCGGCGGGAGGGAGAGAGGGAGGGACAGAGGGAGGGACAGACGAAGGGAGGCATGGGCTCTGCTGCCCGAGCCGCCGCCACTGCTGCCTTCTGCTCCTCTTGTCCTCTCTGCCTTCCTCTGAGCTCTCCCGGCCTGAGCGAGGGCTCAGTCCAGGCAGTCGCTCGCGGCCCGTTCCGGTCCGGCTCGCGGCAGGATCCCGCCTGACCCCCGGCAAAGTTTGCTTGGCCCCGGACTCATCTTCAACTGTCAAGAGCTGTCAGCGGAAATGATGAGACCTTGGCCATTTTCCGAGTCCGGGTTTCCTTCCTGAGCCCGATGTGAGTGTGCGTGCGTGTGTGTGTGTGTGTGTGTGTGTGTGTGTGTGTGTGTGTGTGAGTGTGAGTGTGTGTGTGTATGTGTGCGTGTGTGTGTGTGTGCGTGTGTGAGAGGAGAGACAGAGACAGAGAGAAGATAGAGAGAGACAGAGAGAGACAGAGAGCTTAAGGGGGTAACGATTTTGGGAGGAGTGGGAGAGGACACTGGTGACAAGTGAGACCATGGACCAGCTACACCCCCACGGCTTCTCTCTCAGGTAAGGCTCCCAAAACCTGGCTCCTAGCGAGAGGTGCGCCTTGGGGGAGAAAGGGAGGACATAGGGATCATGGGACTGATGCCCCAAAGGTGGTGGGCACTCCCTTATCCGCTTGTGCCCAGCCTCAGCTTTCCGAGTCCTTCTTTTTCCGCTCTCCGTCCCCCCCCTTTTCCCCCCCCCCCCCCCCGCTAGGGCGCTGAGGCTGAGGACCAGTGCTCTCGGACTTGGGAACTAACCCCATTCCTCTCGCCCACCCACCCACGTGTTACAGCCCCAGGCAAGGGCGAAAGGGGTTTGCAAATCTGTGGGGGGCTGGTTTTTAAGGCACTGGTGATTTCTGGGTGGTGGTGGGGACACTGTCTGTTTAACAGCCCCATCCTGAGTCCCGGAGGGCAAGGGAGGTAAGCTGACCAAGTCTTGGCAAAAGGGTCAGTCCATGGCTCAGGGAGAAGGCTGAGTGTGGGTGTGCTGTTTGGAAGAGGGAGTCGTCCCTGCCGTGAGTTTCTAGAAAGTGAAAGTATAGTCTGCCTGTCCCCGGGGACTCTCAGCCTAGACTGGGGAGGCTGGGGGGAGCTTCGGTTTCTCATCCTATGTCCCTTTTCCTTTTGACAAGGAAATAAATCTGGGGTGAGGGGGCAGAGTGGGGCCCTGGACGGCAGGCCCTCCCCTCTTCGTCCACTTAAGCACCCTTTCCCATCCTGTCTTCTGTACTTCAAGCACCTTTGTGGGAGTGGTAGCCTTGAAAAGGAGACCCCCAGGAAAGAAAGTCCTTGGGACTAGCAGCCCTTCCATGGAACCGACCCCCACCAAGAGCATCTGAATTATTTTCGACAGGATCCACCCACTTTTCTCAAACCTGGTTGACAGTTGTCTCTCAGGGCAGTCAGGGAGGACTGTGGGTCAGGCTATGTTAACAGAGGTGTTTCCCCAGGAGAGAACGTGGGAGAAGATTGTCAAAGCTTTTGGTCATTCCCCACAGACAAGGGTATTTTAGGTGACTGTCATGAGTCTCTCAGAAATCCCCTCCTGCCAGTCTTGGTGTGTTTGGGGGGGGGGCCTGGGGACATTTGAGGATTTGAGGAACTTGGAGTGGGGGGCCCTCATCGAAGTCCTGGCTCATTTTCCTGATTACCATATTTCCTTGTTTCTCTTCCCCATCCTCTTTTGACATTCCCCTACCCTCACTGTCCTAACCGCCTCCCCCACTCTCCCCCCAGGAGATAGTAGAGAAGGGAGGTATGGGCACCCAGGCACTTAAATGCTTGCTGACCAACTGTCTTCCCAAGATGAGGAAGGGGGAGTCCCTAGGGTGTCTTGGATCAGCCTAGAGGAAGAACAGGCTCTCTGCTTAAAGATCTTATCTCTCTGTCTTTTGTAGTCTGAGCAATAGAACTTGACTTTGGAGTCAAAGGCCCTCACCGTCTGCCATTTAAAACCTGGGCAACCTTGGGCAAGTCACTTCCCTAGTCTGGGACTCAGTTTCCTCATTTGTAAAATGAGGAAGCTGGATTAGATGTTCTCCAAGGTCCCTTCCAGCTCTAAACCTATGATCTGTGGTCTTCCCTTCCAATTCCCCCAATCCCAGGACTAGAGGGGGCACTGCCGCATTTCTCAGCTGGCAGATGAGGAAGCTGCCCAGGATCGTTTGACTGGGCCATCCCTCACTAGGCGAATTTAAGGGAACACAGATGGGGCTGTAAACATTTCAGTCCCAGGATGGCAAGGGAGATAGGTGCCCCAGAGGAACCCTAGGATATCCCCCAGAGCAGAAATTTAAATTCTGGGCCTCTGAGAAAAACTGCGGAGTATTCCCATCTCTCTCAAACACTTTCAGAGTACTTTATAAGAGAGAGAGCAGGACAGTACCCTCCTTTCAAAGTCCTTCAGGGCTACTTTGGAGGGAGACTTTACTGTAGCATCAGCCAGCATCCCAGTCCAAAGTGGGGTTTGGGGCAGAGGTAGAGGGTGGCATACCTCCCTTCCTATTTATAATTATATGAATTCATAAGATTTAGAGCTGGAAGGAGCCATAGCATAATAGATGGGGTACTGGGCTTGGGGTCAAGAAGACCTGGGTTCAGAGACCAGCTTTGATGATTGTGTGACCTTGGAAGAGTCACTCACCTCACTGAGCCTCAGCTTTTTACTCTGTAAAATGGGAGGCTTAGACTAGCTGCACTTTAAGGTCCCCTCCAGCTCTGAACCTCTCTGGGCTCCTGTTTCCTTACCTCTAAAACAAAGGGCTTAGTCTAGATGGCCTCTGATATCCCAGGAATCCTGAATAGACCCAGGGCTGGAAGGGACAGCAGATGCCCCACCATTTTACAGAGGAAGAAACTGAGGCCCAGAGACTTGCTCAAGGTCTCACGAGGTATGGTGGTAGCAGAGCTGGGGTTTGAACCTGCAGATCTGGGCTCCCTTCCCACTGCTCTGTGTGTTAGGAAAGGGAGAAGGGGGAAGAGGAGGAGTTCTCATCCCTCTGACCATCCTACTACAAAGTCGAGGCTGGAGAGAGCCCTGGATCTGTGGAGTTGAAGGCCCTGGGTTCTAGTTCTCACTCAACTAAGTGTGACCTTGAGGAACTCATTTCCCTTCTCTGGGCCTCAGCTTCCTCATTCGTAAAATGAAGAGGCTAGGGGGTACAGAGCCGGTGACGATGGGTAGAAGTTGTAAAGACGCAGATTGAGGTTCCTTGTAAGCAAGACCTTCTTCACTACTAGGGCTGCTCAAAGGGGGAACTCTAGAAGTCATGGGTTCCCCATCACCAGAAGTATTCAAGCAGAGGCTAGATTATCACTGGGATTGTAGAGATTGTAGAGGGAATTCTTTCGGGGATACAGGTTAGCTTTGACGGCACCTGCGCTCCTTCTCAATTTTGAAGTTCCCTGATGCTGTGACTAGGTGACCTCCAAGATTCCGTCCGTATCTAAAGCAACTGATCAATAAGCCAGCCAACTGTGTGGCAGGTGTGGGGACTATGGAAGCCAATGCAAATTCTATTGGGATTGAACATAATAAATTATAAATCCGTGATCTTTGGTGTGTGATGGTCCTGTGGTCCCTTCAAACTCTAAATCCCTTGGTCCTCTGGTGACACAGGCTAGAATGGGGAGGAAAGCGGAGGCAGGGAGAGAAGTAGGAGGCCAGTCTCTGGTACAGGGACTAACCTTGAAGCTGGAACAAATAGATGAAAGCTTTGGAAGTCACTTCAGACCTGAGAGCCAGTGTAGTATATGCTTGACTTAGAATCTGAATCAACTTGGGTTAGAATCTGTCTCTCACTCCTAATAGCTGTGTGACCCTGGGCCATACTTAACCTCTCTGTTTCTCAGTCTGGTGGCACCAACCTCTGTAGAGTGTTTGGAGAGCAAATGAAATCATGCATATGAAGTGCTTTGTAAACCTTGAAAGCACTACATCAATGTTAGTGGTTATTACTATTATAGCTGTAACAAAGAATGATGGCCGGGGAGGGGGCAAGAAGGAAAGAAGGGGAACGGATGGATGACTGTGGATTCCTAGAATCTTAAGAAGAAACACTTGGGGCTCCCAGGGTCTGGGAAAGAAAAATGTCCTGTCCTGTGCTCTGAATCAGGTCTGTTTGCCTTCTCCACTCTCGTATCTCCTCCCCTTCCCCCCCCCAAAAAAAACCATACTGTGGAGTATCCCTCCAGGGGCTAAGGCTCAGTGCTTTTTCCTATAAATATAAATTTCTTTAAAAAAAATCAAAATGTAGCAGAGCTTGGCCTCTGAGCTGGCTCTCTGAAATTGACAGCTTCCAGATGGCATTGCTGCCAACTTAGTGCTCCTTGGACCTCACACCCATCCTGACTTGATGCCAGGGTACCCTGACATTTGGATGAGCTGGGGTGACACTGCCTCTCCTGGAGGGCCGTTGGCCTTGGAAGAGCTGGTAGATAGCATTCAGGGGCTGTGCTTTCTGGGTACCCTCACATTGCTCTTCTGCCTGACCTGGTGGTAGCAGGGGCTTGTTCTGCCTGATGCCAGGCTGGGAGCATTTTGGCACGGGGGAACAGAATGCCCCAGAGGTCTGGCAGGGAGCTGGTCAGAGTCAGAAAGGCTGGCAGGCAGGGGGTACTCAGTGCCAGCCATAATTCTCTTGCCACCATTATCCTTTGAAAAGTGGCCAGGAGTAGACACATTGCTGGGGAATGAGGGCATCCCAGGTTGGCGTGAGGCTGTGAATTGGGAACACTATCTTTACGTCTTAATCTGGTCCAGGTCCCTTTGATATTCCAGACTTTATAGACAGCATTATCTCCAAACATTTGGCCATTCAAAGGAGAGACCCCAAAGGTGAGCCATATCCTAGATTCTCAGAGCTGGAGGGACTTTTATTTCAAGTTTCCCAGAAAACTCCCATCTTATTTGGTTGGCTGGGTCTTCAAAATAGAAGCTGTTACCATGTAGTAGGGATGGACAAACAGTATGTCATACCTGCTTTACATGAGGGGAGGGGGGTCAAAGAAGCCTAGAGAGGTCAAGCAGAGCTGGGATGGGAACCAAGGAGCAGGAAAAGGGAGGTGGAGGGAGAAAAGAGTTAGGAAAGAATAGAAACAATGTAAGGGGATGGGAGCAGGTGGACAAGTCGCTCCAGGAAGTGGCCTTTTTTTTTTTTTCAGGAATGCTCTGGTTTCTGCCAGATTCTCTTGCCAGAGGGGGCTCATCCTTCCCCAGAAGATCCTCATTCCACATTCCCTTGAGGATCTGGGAAGGGAAGTGACT